AAGAAAAATGACAAAAATCAAAATAGAAAAAAAAAAAATTACGTACACAGACTGATTTATAAAAATTATCATCAAAACTCATGTTATTGTTGTCAAAAACTCATACTAGTATTGTCATGAGTTCTTATTTGTAATTTTTGTTATTTCAGCAGTATTTTTTTATAATTTTTTTAAAATAAAATAAGAATAAAAAATTAAACTATTTAAAGTAATTTTTAAATATTCACCTGAAATCCTGCCTAATGTTCATTCACTGTAAAATCAGTGCCGCGGGACGCCTGCACAGATGCACATAGATCCGGGCTCTTCGGCTGCTGACTTTCTCCATTAAAACAATTTTTTTTAATAAAAAAAGTAGTAATAAATAATAATCACAACCACTGGTGTATATAATGCAATAACCAAAACCGCTTCTTAAAGCTTCCATGGCTGCCTCCCTTGCAAGCCCTGCTGCTGCTTGCAGACTTCACAAGGACCAATACCCTTCGTTGCATTTTCCTTCCAAATCCCTCAAATTCACTGCTTTCGCTTCTTCTTCCTTCATTGCTAGAACCACCGCTCGAACTTCCTCTTCCGCCTCCTTCGCGTTGACCAGGGACCCCGCCTCTGTTATTCTCATGGATGACCTCATGAAGGATGATAATGGGTCGGTTCAGCTTCAACGACCCGACTCGTTTGGTCGGTTCGGTCAATTTGGCGGCAAGTATGTCCCTGAAACTCTTATGTATGCACTCACTGAGCTCGAGGCTGCGTTCCATTCCCTGGCGGCGGATGAAGAATTCCAGGTGTTTAAGTTTGATTAGAACTATATTTTCGTTGCCAATTGATGAACTTAATTTGGACATCTTCAAGCTCTTTTTCCCCTTTTTATAAATCTCTCATTCCTTAGGGCTTTCCTCTTTATTCAATCATTACATGATTTCAACCATAGAATCCGTAATCCCCACAAGTAGATGATTCGGTAATCTAAGACAATTTTTTTGGACAAAAATTATTGAATTACAGAAAGAACTGAATAGCATTCTGAGAGACTATGTCGGTAGGGAGACTCCTCTTTATTTTGCTGAGAGGTTGACAGAGCATTACAAGCGTCCTAACGGTGAAGGGCCCCGCGTATATCTAAAAAGGGAAGATCTTAACCACACTGGAGCTCACAAAATCAACAATGCAGTTGGCCAAGCTTTGCTTGCCAAGCGACTGGGCAAGAAACGTATTATTGCAGAAACTGGAGCTGGCCAGCATGGAGTTGCCACTGCTACTGTTTGTGCCAGATTTGGGTTAGAGTGCATAATTTATATGGGTGCACAAGACATGGAAAGGCAAGCACTTAATGTCTTCAGAATGCGTCTTCTTGGTGCTGAGGTATGTTAATCTTTATGCTATACATTGCTGATATAATCCTTTTTACCAATTACTATTCAAGCTTAAGTAAGGGTTTCTGACATTGAATTATGCACCTATGCATCTGAAAATTTATGGGGTTTATGCAACCTACTAGCCTAGTTGCCCGATATTGACGTTAAACTTCTATTGGTTGGCCTTGCTAATAATGTGGTTCTGTGACGTAGGTGAGAGCAGTGCATTCTGGGACAGCTACACTGAAGGATGCTACATCAGAAGCTATAAGGGATTGGGTGACCAATGTGGAGACAACTCATTATATTTTGGGTTCAGTTGCTGGGCCGCATCCGTATCCAATGATGGTAAGGGAGTTTCACGCAGTGATTGGCAAGGAAACGAGAAAACAAGCATTGGAGAAATGGGGAGGGAAACCAGATGTGCTAGTAGCATGTGTTGGAGGAGGTTCAAATGCCATGGGACTTTTCCATGAATTCGTTGGTGACAAAGATGTTAAGCTGATTGGAGTGGAGGCTGCTGGTTTTGGTATTGATAGTGGTAAGCATGCAGCAACATTAACAAAAGGAGAAGTTGGGGTTTTGCATGGAGCAATGAGCTATCTGTTGCAGGACGATGATGGCCAAATTATTGAGCCCCACTCTATTAGTGCAGGGTAATTTTCCAGTGCTCCCATATCTGTTTTCTTTTGTCTATGCTGATTTCACTTATTCTAAGTCTGCTTTTTATTCTTTCAACATGCACAGCTTGGACTACCCTGGTGTTGGGCCAGAGCACAGCTTCTTGAAAGATATAGGACGTGCTGAATATTACAGTGTTACTGATGACGAAGCATTGGAAGGTATGACTACTCTGAGATTTTTGCCCTTCACTTTATCCAATATTTAATTATTTCTGACGGAAGGTGAAAATTAGAGTGGTTTTTGAATTTTAAATGTCAAGGAATATGCTTCTTCTTCTTTTTTTTTAATTCTTTCAACAGTGCTGCCTCTCATAAATCTCTTAATACATATGGAGTTGAGCATCATCAGGACTCTTTAGAAAATCAGAGAGTGATCACTTCGGTGTTTGATTTTACTAAAGAAGGAAGAAGAATGTTGATCATAAGTCCTGGTTACCTCAGAGACAAAGATGCAATCAGTTTTAAATAATGTCCATGTTTTGTTAGGAAAATGGTTATATAGACAGTAATACTGTTATGAATCACGATGCATTCCAATTTTACATGAGATGCCCCTGTCTTCCTTTTGACTAGAATAGATTGAGTCAAAAACTGCATACATTGTTGCAGTTTAAGACGATAACAATCTTATGTGCTGAATATTTCTGCAGAAGGAGAGATTTTTTAATTCTGTTTGCAAACAGATTTTCTTAATTATTCTGGAATATTTGAAAATCTTTGCTGAAGGATATGTTTTTATGGCTATATCAAGTTGTTCTATATTGGTTTGATTTACTTCTCAAAGGCCAGGGCTTTTGTTGTTGAATTTCAAGGTAACTAACTAACAATCATGAATAAAACATGGAACCATCTTAAGCATACTTTTTTTATTGGGACTTTTGCTTGCTTTTGCGATTGACTTGAACCATCCATCTTTTGTTGATGAATTCTAGCTAATGTCATTTTGTTCGTTGGATGTATAGATGTTAGTATAACTCTGCAGTAATCAGTTTTGGTCCTGGCGAGAATTGCTTGGGTAGCGTTAACATCTTTTTCCCCTAGTTAAGTAAATAAATAAGCAACCAGCGACGTTGCTTTAACCTAGCACTACCTGAATAGACGAAAATAAATTTCCTAAAGACAGCATATCCTGTACAGTTATTCCAAGTTTCCTGGTGGCTTCATAGTCTGTGAAAGCCGCAAACAAACCCGATCTTTGTTAGAATAGTCTGAAGCGGTATTTTTCATTTTCAATGAAGCTATTCCATTCTGTGGTCAGAAACTGTTGCTTTTCCGCCACTTGTGACTTATCTCTATCTACTAACAGAATCACTGCTATTTTGAAAATCAGACGTATTCATGTACAATACAATACTCAAATTGCGTTGATACACTATTTTTTTTATTATATTACAATGTCCGCGTTGTGTTGTATCCTATAACCTTATCAATATCTGTCTTTTAGTGTCGTTTAAGGATCCGTTGCTGTGATATTTGCAGCATTCAAGAGAGTGTCCAGACTAGAAGGCATAATCCCAGCATTGGAGACATCTCATGCTCTTGCTTACCTCGAAAAGCTCTGCCCATCTCTTCCGGATGGAACTAAGGTTGTCCTTAACTGCAGCGGCCGAGGTGACAAGGACGTTCAAACTGCCATCAAGTATCTCAAAGTATGAAGCTGATGGAGAAATTCTTGAATAGACCCAGTTCATAGAAAATGTCGTAAACCAAGCTGATTTACAAAGGAACACATAAACATGTCAAAGCTCAATCTCACTGATATGTGTTTGGCTGCATGTTTGTGTGTGTGTAGTTGGGTTGGTCTATATTTACTTTTTGTCAATCAAGTCTACTTCAAGAGTTCTTCAAGGCGGTGGTCCTTTTTTTTTTTTTTTTCCCTTCCCCGCTAGGACTTGTCAGAGTATGGGTTTTAGGAGAGCTAGTATTTGCTTGGGAATGTCATGTGATGAGTTTTGTAACAAGGCTTGTTTCTGCTTTTGCATCTGTATTTTTCTTTCCTTTTCCTTTCTCCCCTTTCTTTTGGTTGCCCAATGATGTGACGTTGTAAAGATCAAAGAGTTGCGTTATCTGTTTATTTTTGTATTAATGAAAAGAGGGCAATTTTGAATAATGAATGGAAAATTTTTATTTCTGTCAATATTATAATTATGTGGATTAATCAATGGAAATTGATCTATCAAATTCTTTTAAAGGGATGCGTTTTTTGATAAGTAACAAATAACGCGAATATATTTTAAATTTTATGCATATTTTTTACCAAACATTTGAAAATATAATTATTAATTAGACGAACAGTCAGATTCCGCTTATACAGACCTAGTTTTTTTAAGAGGGCCATTTTGATGGTTAAATGAATGGTCCAAGAACGAACAAGAGGATTGAAACAAATGGCCCAAGAAAAACCAACAAAAGATTAGTTTAATAATACAAGACTTCGTTAGATTTTTTTTTATTTTGAGTTTTAAGTTCGAGTTTTAGAGAAGACATTTTTCCAGAGAGGAGAAGCCATGAACCTCCAACCAAATTAGCAGGATGATAATATTAAAAAAAAAACCCAAGAAAAAAATAGCGTGTATTTTGATAAAAGAAAAAATTGTTATAAAAAAAGAACAAAATTAATGTGTATTATAAAGACCGCTCAATTTATCAGAGCCTGGTTTTTGATCTAGGGACCTGTGGATTATGAGCCCACCACGCTTCTGTTGTGCCACTCTGATTGATAAAATTACAATTGATTTTAATTTTATATATTTATATCTGTTAGGAGATCTATTGCAGATGATGCCAATTTTATCATTGTCACGGGTTCAAGTGAGAAGCGCATCGTTCATTATTATTCATATGTGTATGACGTGTGTTCATTATAACGTCTCCAATGTTCAATATTAGGTTGCATCACAATTGATTTTTTTCCTTATAAGTTATCGCTTTCTTTGTCTATTAATTATCAGAGGAGATAATGATGGCAAGGAATTTGGTGTTGCAAATCTGCAATGGCACAAAGCTGCCATGGATTGATTTGGATTGTTCCCCAGTTGGACCACGCATTTTTACCTGCTGGGAGAGGTGTGCTTTTGTTTTTGTTGAATTGATGTCATATCTCTTATTAGTGTTTGTTTAGATTTTTAAAAGTACTTATTAATATAATTTGAGATAAAACTCTTTTTACGAATCATTATTAAAAAACTACTTTTAAAATATTTTTACCGTTATTACAAGCAAGTTTTTGTGATTTGTTTGGTATGAAAGAAATGGAGAGAAGAGGAGAGAAACGAAAATTTTAATGAACTCAATTTTTAAAAATAAGAAAAGTAAGATTTTAATATTTTAATGAAGTGAAGATGTAAGATAAGATGATAATAAAATTCAATTAAAAGTTTTTAATCCCATTTTTTAATTTTTTTAAATTAAGTTCATTAAAATTTGTTCTTCCTCACATTTCTTTCATTTTCCTCATAGCAAACAGATCCTAAAGGATTTATCAAATGTGCCCGAGGACTCTACTTAAATACATCTCGCATTTTGCGCCACACGCAGACAGAATATACTTGTAAATCTGGAATATTCTATGTCTAATCATCATTATCCTTATTTGAAGAAGCATCCCCTTATGAGTTGAATTTTATTTTTTTAATTTTTTTTCATTTGTGAACATTATTAGAGAACGTCATTTAAGTACTAATATTTAATTTAATAATACTTAAATTCTTTTAAAAAATTATTAGAAATGAATTTTAAATATTAATTTACATAATTATAGATGGCAAAAAAATTGCCTAATTATAAACATAAAAGTCTTAAAAAACATTTAAAAATTTTCAATAATTTATTGAATCAATCAGAAGGACTAAAAATATTCGCTGACATTATTTTTTCAACGGTTAGGTAAACTTTTTTGTTTTGTTTTGTTTTATCCAAACTTTGCGACCCAGACAACGCCAACTCTTATGGATAAATTTGGCAAAATTCATGAATATTATTATGTACTAGTTTGATTCTAAATGTAAGTCATTTATAGAATGAAATTTTTATTTTAATTATAAGTGATTTGTAGTATATTTAATACTTATTTTTTAATTTAATTTTTATTGGAAAGAAAGAAAGAATAAAAATATAAGAGAATAATTCGTAAATATAATGAGAAATTTTTTTAATAAAGATAAAATTAAAATATTGTGTCATATATTTCTAAATATGTACTCCTCTAACCTTATTTATAAGAGAGAGAGATAAACTTTTTATATAAATTTACAATGTTACTGTTTATCTATTATTGTGTTTAATTTGTTCTTATGAAGCATGTTATATATTAAATAAAAAAATAAGAATTATTAAATTTTAAATAAAAATTAATAAAATTTAAGATTTTTAATGATTTGTATAAAATATATTGAAAGTGATTTATAAATAGAGAAGAAGAGTATAAATATATTACAACTTATTTATATTAATAATAATTAGAGTGGTTTGTGAAACTTCTTCTCGGCTCACGTGCCTTTAGTTTTATAGTTTTATTTAAGGGAGAATTAAAATAAAAACTAAAAATTATTAAAAAATCTTAATAACAATCTAATCCAAACTTTACTGGCTCTCACATCCACCGTGACCACGTTGCGCGAGGTATCGGCCATTCAACGATAATAAAGGGAAAGTTTTCATGGGATGGTCCGCCTTTATGAGATTCGTAAAAATAATTTATAAAAATAAGTCAAATATTCTTATTAATTAGAAACATTTGAACTGAAGTATCAATACTTTCTATACATAAAATCTTGCAGAGTATTTACACATTTGATGTATATAAATATATAATTAATAAAATTTTTGAACAAATACTTTTAGCTGGTTTTCTCAAGATTAAATTCAATATTTTGCTAAATTAAGAAGTTCAATAACTTTTATTTATAATTTCAAATAGGAATAAATAGTAGTATTTTAGAAAATTATTCGTTATTAAAAAGTAAAATGACAATTGATTTTTAGATAAATTTTTAAATTAACTTTTTGTGATAAATTTTGCAAGATTTTTTTACATCGGATTCGTTGATAACTTTAATTTTCCTTCAAAAAGAAAGACAGAATTACATGTCGGCTTTTGATTTGTGTGTCGAAAATAGCTCTTCATCATCAGACCATTTTTCTGGGTAGCTTTCTCTAGAATGAAGGAGTCCAAAACCAACCAACCAAAGTCTCTTCCTTTTCCTCTGGGTCTCTCTTTTCCATGGCTTCCTCTGCATCTTCTTCTTCGCTCCTGAAGCTAATTTACATAGCCATAATCCTCACATCGCTTTTGAGCCTGCAAGTTTGGTCCTTCAAGTCCCCATTTCACCCGCAAGACTTGCTTCCTCTGTTGCCCAGACAGGTGTCCTGGCCTATCCTCAACTCCCTCCACAATGCCGTCGATCTTCTTCCGTCATTCGTCGGCGCCGTTTCGTCCCCCGAAAATGCCCTGGAGTGGAAGGGCTCGTGCTTCTCCGAGAACAGGGCTTGGATGGAGTTTCACAACGATAGCGGCACCGAATTCGGTGGCGGAACACTTCATATCAAGGTTGACTTCTGAGTTCGCTACTCTACTTCACTGTAAACTTCGATCATTCTTCTCAGTTTGGTACTCAGTACAGCACTGCAATCGATTATTGCCACATACTTAAACTCAAAAGCACGCATGAGTTTTGATCATGGTGAAATGTTAGTAGTAATAGATCTTTCTTGACGACAATTTGGACAACTTTAATTTTGTGGGTGGTGTTAGAATGAGTGCTATTTCAATGGAGATAGAATATAAGCGATTGTCCAAACTTCATTTTGCTGAATCCAAGGGTTTGAAAGTGAGAGATGATTAAACTTTTAATCCATTGATGGATTCTGAACTTCGTGGTTTTTCCAATTATGGGTTCGTTTTAGTGTTCTTGGCATTATAGCTTACTAGTTTAACTTCTTTAACTCTTCTCTTTTCATCTGTTTATTATCGTTATTATATCATGAAGCTATTTCTGTTGACTAACGAAATAGTAGAGACATTTTAGACTTCTGATCAAGTGGATGTCATTGTTTGGCTTGCTATTCCATATTTTCTGCGCACACACGCCGTTTTCTTATCGACTTCGGCTTTAGAGGAAACTGCTGATGAGTATTTGTGTGCTCATCCAGGTTAGCAAAGCTCATAGTTGGACATGTATTGATCTTTATGTCTTTGCGACCCCATATCGTGTAACATGGGATTATTATTTCCTATCCCGGGAGCATACACTAAATTTCAAAGAATGGGAAGGGAAAGCAGAGTATGAGTATGTAAGTGGCCTTAATCAGACCATACTTTAGTTCAGTGTTAAATAATGCTTATTCACTTTTGGGAATTTTTACTCTGAAATTAGGTCAAAAATAGAGGGGTTTCAATTTTCCTCATGAAAGCTGGAATGTTTGGGACCCTTAGAGCACTTTGGGATGTCTTCCCCTTATTTACAAATACTGGGTGGGGTGAGAAGGCAAATCTTGGATTTTTGAATAAGCACATGGGAGCTTCTTTTGTTGCACGCCCTGAGCCATGGGTTACAAATGTCAGTGCTGATGACATTCACTATGGAGATTTCCTTGCGGTTTCAAAAATTCGAGGCCGCTGGGGTGCATTTGAGACTCTGGAGAAGTGGGTCAGTGGAGCATATGCTGGTCACACTGCCGTTTGCTTAAGGGATTCTGATGGAAAGCTCTGGGTTGGGGAGTCAGGACACGAAAACGAAAAGGTAAATACTTTTTTGATCTTTAGGTAAGCAACATAAAAGAACTTGCGTTGAAAGAGACTACCACATACTGTAACACTTTTCTTGTATTTGAGGACTGATTTATTATATTTCATAGACATAGAAATCCTTGATATGTTCATAAAAGTAGTCGTGCACCATCCTGAATTGTGAGAACAGATGCTTTTTAGTTGTTTTTGTTCTTAATATTTCAAATCAATTGCATTTGTTATCTTCCAAAACACCCCTTTTCAAAAGAAAAAAGAATTTATTGCTGTGATCCATTTCTTTTTCCAGTGTCTTTATGCTTCTTTCCTCCCTGTGTAGCATGGCCACTGCAGAAAGCAGTCTTTTTTTTCTTTTTTTCTTGAATGCTATAGCTACTTTACCTTCATTTCAGTGCAAGACAAGCTTCACAGATCTGCTTCTACCATGGTATTACGTTTTCTGATTTTTTTAACCTGCCTCATCTTGCATAAAGCTCAAACCTCAGAGTATTAATAGGTTTCATCTGGTTTGAAATATGACTAATATATATCTTGGTGACATGAATGGATTTTCCTTTATGATAAATGTCTCATATTGCTAGTTTGACCATTTGAAAGTACGTTAGCCAGTCAAGCTCTTTGGTTGATACATTTGCAAGTAGTTAACTCCATCATTTTTTTTATTTTTTATATTTTTGTTTACAGGGAGAAGATATTATTGCTATATTACCGTGGGAGGAATGGTGGGAATTTGAAGTGAATAAAGACGATGCCAACCCTCATATTGCCCTTCTTCCTTTGCACCCTGACATGCGTGCCAAGTTTAATGAAACTGCTGCATGGGAGTATGCTCGAAGCATGGATGGCAAGCCATACGGTTACCATAACATGATTTTCAGCTGGATAGACACGATAAGTGGGAACTATCCTCCCCCCTTGGATGCTCATTTGGTATCAATCTTAACTGATGTTTTAAATTCTAAGTTTACTTAAACATTCAATGTAGCACTCTTGAGATATTGGCCTGTAAGCCAAGACTTATCAACCATGGACTTCTATTATTTCAGAAATAAAATGAAAATAACCATATTGGTGCTCTTGTCACAGTTTCCGTATGACATTAAGCTAGTCGATGAATATTCAATTTCCTTCCTCATGTATAGCATTATCAAGTTGACATAGTTCCATGAATAATTGCTTGTTTGTCAGTGAAAAAGCAACGCTGATGGGAATGATCTTACTTGACTGATTTTGATAAAGCTTGTGATCATTAGCTGTGTTATTCTGTAGGTTGCTTCCGTTATGACAGTATGGAATCAGATCCAACCTGAATATGCTGCCAACATGTGGAATGAAGCCTTGAACAAACGACTTGGAACTAAAGTATGCTAGAATCTTATCTCAGTTTTACGCTGATTGCTGAACTTTTTAGGCACGGGAATAGTGTACACTTAATCAATGCCCTCTAATTGATAGGATGAGATGCTTCTTACCCATTGCATTGATAAGTAACACAAATTGGTAATTGTTACCCATCATGACATATATTACCAATTATTTAGGGCATCTGAAATGAGTACCTTTGATATAATTGCCATCTGTATCTCTATGTAGTGACTGCTTTCTGATTATCTGGAATCTTACAATTCATTAGAAATGTGTCAATGACATGACTTTTCTGTGGTTCTATAGGGACTTTCCCTCCCTGAAATATTAGTAGAAGTTGAAAAGCGAGGATCATCATTTGCTGAACTGATGACTATTCCAGAACAGGATGACTGGATTTACAGTGATGGGAAGTCAACTTCCTGTATCGCTTTCATTCTAGAAATGTACAAGGAAGCTGGATTGTTTGATCCAATTGCTAGCTCTATTCAGGTGACAGAGTTTACGGTGAGTTAACGTGGGATGGTTTGGTAATTTCAAACATATCTCTTTCCAGTAACTTGACACATTTGTGTTTGGTTGTTCGGATAAAAACAATTACGGGCTCTTAGATGGCTGCTGTCACATTTTGTACTGACACCATGCTGCTTTAGCTACCTTCCAGAAGTGTCATAATTAGGTTATTTGAGTTATGGAGAACTTTAGTCAAGAGACTTAAGTGAAGGATACGGTCACTAGACATACCTCGACATATGCTTGCAAAGATATGTTAATGAAATAGCTTGCTCATTTCATAGTGTTTCAATTCTTGATGCTCCATATTATGCAAAAGGGTGAGGGCTATTGCATGATGCATAGATAATGGTGCACTGAAGAGCCTCCCTTTTTATTGTGTTACTATAAAGGGAGTACAGTTTATTGTTGATAGTCATAGAGCCCAATGGTATTGTGCAATTCATGTCACCAAACCTCATTTAGTGCGACATGGCTGCTTGTTACTGTGAGGGTTGTCCTTAGACTTTGCTTGAGACTATTACTTGTCTGGTTTATTCTTTTTATTTCAGTTTGTTATATCTATGATTTTACTCCCATGGTACTTTTGACGGGAACTGAGTGCCAACTGATGATCTTACCATTGTAATTTTCAATAATCACCAATGTAATCTTTAAGTTACATTGCATATGCCTTATGACTTGGTTGAAGAACTTGTTTGTAGTAGTTGCTGCAATTAAAGCTTATTTGTGTGCTATAATTGCAGATAAAAGACGCTTACATACTCAACTTTTTCGAGGATAATTCAAGTCGCTTGCCAAAATGGTGCAACAGCGAAGACACTGTGAAGCTGCCATATTGTCAGATTAAAGGGAAGTATAGAATGGAACTGCCTGGATACAACAGCGTGCAACCATATCCTCATATGAATGAACGGTGCCCTTCGCTGCCTCCAAAGTACCTTAGATCAGAGAACTGTTAGATGCTCCCAATTCTTTCCACCTCCCTTGGGGTTGATTGATTGTTTCATCAGATCATTGTTCCTCTAGAATTTTTGGACAGTGTAGAGTTTGGATCTTCGACATCTTTGTCTTCTGTTCTTTTCTCATCAATTTCAAAGAGAGATAGACAAAGAATATATAGAACTCACTTAAGTGGTGGGGTCTATTTGAATGTGTGGAACTCATTTGTGTGATGGGTTCTATATAGTTATGTCTATTTCATTTTGAAACTGAGAGTGGGATAAAAAGAATAGAGAGGATCCAAGGTCTAGTTTATATGCATGATTTTAGAAAAAATGCAAATTTAGTTGAACAATAAATTTTATCAAATCATGCACGTCATTCGATTTATCGTTGTAGCTAGATTAAACATGATGTAAATAGATGGGATGTGAAAACTTGTATCATATGAAACCCATATTTCATGTATTGACTCTTCATATTTCCGTTCGAGCATTCCAGCTTTGGTAGCCATTGAGCGAAGCCCAGAAATATTTCTCGCCATGATAGCTTGTGAACACAAATTTACTGATTTTAATTTTTTTTTTACCTGCAAAAGTTAATCATCGTTCAATTAGTTCCTCTTTTGTTTTTTTTAATACAAATGATCACTGTTGGATTCTTGTACAATTCGCGTCAACTTGTTGAACATCGAAACTTATATTCATACGACGAAACTAAACCTCAACACTTGGGAAGACATACTTATGATCATCAGAGAATCAAAGTCAACCTGTGATTAGCACAGATTTTTACATCAGTGCTAAGAAATGAAATTGAAATCAAAATCAATCGTCTTATATTCCACGCAACCTCAATGATATATTAAGAGGAAAATGGAGACGAGAATCTCCTTAAAGGGTATCAGCTCTCGTGTAGAAAATCCTTAAAGAAAATATCACAGACAAGCAGAACCATATCAGATCCATTATCATGGGACTCACGTCTAAAATTGCTTATGCGTATTTCATATAGGACCTGCCTATGGATCTAAACTCAAGTAATAATGGTCATGGTCTAGCCAAGTGAGTGAACAACTAATAAGTTACTTTATACGTGTAAGGACAAGTAAGCAAACAACAATCTCAAGTTCCACACCGATGCCAACAATAATGCAAATACTGTTATGTAGATCACAGAAAGAGGAGCTAGTTATTCGGACTTGGCAGGGAGATGGTTGCCGCCAGTTGCCAGTTTGAACAGATAAAACCCAGTCATGAGAGCACTGCAATTAAAAAAAAAAAAAAAAAAAAACAACAACAACAACAAATTGTATTAGCTTAGAAATGACGTTAAGTAGCAAAGAAGTCTATATGTCGTTTTCCTATTAGAAAACACACTATATCGATCACGAATATCTAAAGGCATTCACTTAAATCTTGTTCAACAACATAACACCATACAATTTCAACTATGAACCAGTGATGTGAATTGTCACTCGCCTCAACACCTAAGGCTGAGTTATTTGTGCTCCATGAATCATGACTACCTGTGAGCAAACTGTTCCTAGAAGCTTAGCATCAAATGGAGCATGAGCTTGTGCCCAAAGTTGTTTAATTTTACATACGAGAAACCAAAAAGTCTGAGTGCAAGAATGCTAGCTTATAAATATCAACTAGAGAAACTGATTACATAATCAACAAGAAGTTCTGAAATGACGATAAGACTTCAACTCAGCAAGGTTTTACAGAGGCTTAGCATTGACTGAAGCTGTAGAAATCAACACTATAGCCCAACCTTTTTTTTTCAAAAAAAACTACTCATTTCCATTCTCTCCTCTTTCTCCTTGTGCAAATCCACATATGAAAATAGAATTTCTCATAATGTTGCGACACTTTCACAAATTTACTCTGACAAGAAAGTAAAAATAACCCGATATTCTCAACTAACATGGTATTGATTGGTGCTGGGACGGGCATTGCCTTAATATATAGACATGAAGATTAAAAATTAAGGTGGTGGATATTAAGCTATAATTAGCTTACCTTATCCCTGCAACAAGACCAGCAGGCATGAACTTTGAAGTTTGCAGGTAACGCTGTCCCATGACCCAAGTGAGTATAGCTGCGCAAACTGTTATTCATAACAAAAAAGCTAATTAGATTATTAGAAAGTGTATGAAGATGACGACCACAATTATAGAGACATCACTACAATGGATCGAAAGTTATGATGGATTCTTCCATCCCATTCCATTTTCACTTTCCTCTTTGCTTCCCACTTCCTCTACCAAGCATACCATAAATTGTGATCCGTCATGAATGTCTTTGATCACAAATGACATGATCTAAGAATCACAAACCCTGACACCTACGCGAGACACGACAAAGAACAGAAAAGGACAAAATATAATTTGAAGCGTAGCGTTGGATATAAGCGTCAGATACATATGACTTATGAGCGATTTTCAAATATAGTTTTTTCAACACCAGATGAAGCTGCGCTCTTATCGTTGCCAAAGATGCATCACAAAACATTTTTAAAAAAAATTCATTAAATCACGGTTAAAGTATCTCGAGATAGTGACAGAAAAAGGCAAATAAGCAAGAATTACATCGAACTCAATCTATCTTTAACCAACGCTCTGTCTCTGTTATTCATTCAAGCACTTAACGAGTCCCTTTACTAACTATCCATTTACCACCGTGTTAATTTAGATCCTCTTGGAGGTTAGAAGCTTTTAAGCCTTCATGGCATTTAGTAGAAACACAAAACAGGGTAAAATTGACCCTAAGTGCACGGATGAAGAGAACTTCATTCAGAGACAGAATTAAGAACCAGAACCAAGTCAATCACTGAACTGGAATCAAAATAAGCATTTCTTAAAAACAACCGTACCCGTCTCAAGAATCAAAGCAAAGTACGAGTTCTTTCTCTTTTCAAAGGCTTTGAGACTCAGATAACCAGCGATGATGAGCAACAAACCAGTACCTACGCCTCCACCCAGAGAAGCAATGCTTCCCTTTCTGAAATATCCGAAGAGTCCTCCACCCACCAAGAGCAACCCATACGGAATCGTGAAGCAGAAATCGTGCATTTTCTTCGGATGGGATTTTCCGGGCAAAATCAGATTCTCCAAATCAGACAGAATGAGACTCGGGAGTTTCGTTCCCAGATCAAATAATCAAAATCTGTAATTTCGTCAACTGTGGACCAAGTGGCGTGTGGAGTACCACGGGCCAAATTGCATTCCAAGTTTACCCCTGGACTATCGTCTAATCTCGATATTGTCCTCAGCCAATGCCTCGTCCGGTTCAATCCAATTGCTGATTCTAATTATTTAGAAAAATTACTGAAAAGTTTGTTAAAAAATTTATTATTCTTATCTAAGAATTTAAATAATATAATTCATATTTTATATGGGCATTCATCATGTTAAAAAGACCTTTTAAATTCAAAATTTTATTACGTTATAGCATAGAAAAATCTTCATGGAGCTGAAAGTTAAGTTAACACAAATGATAACATATTTATTGATTTATTAAAAAATAACATTTACCTAAAAAAGCCTTAATTACGTGCCACCTTGCTTGGGGAGTTTATCTTCGCCCCAAGTATCCTTTTCCCTAACTTGGAAGCATTCCAAGTATTCTAATCAAACAAATATGATGTTTGAAAAGTTCATATTTCACCCATTTATTTTATCAAAGTCTTTTTTTTTGTACAGTTCATATGTAAAATTTAAATTAAAAATTTCAATTCAAACTTGAAGCATGAAGAACATTGCAAAAAGAAAAAATTAAAAGAAGATTCTAAACGAATATCATATTCAAGAGTTAATGTAAGTTTTGACCCTAAAATTTAGATCTGTTTTGGTTTTGATCTTTTAAATTTTAATCATGTAGTTTTAGTCTTTCAAATTTAGTCCATCTTAAAATGTCATTTCTTAAAAATATAACGATGTTAAAATTTTCTGAAATGTCATGAATAATGTTAAAATGACGATATATACTCATTAGATAATGCTTAGATGAATTTTGTGTAGATAACATATTACACAAAGGGAATGTGTTCTTAGAAAACAACACAGTGAATCGCTCCTCAAATGAATAACGAAGAAAAGAAGTGACTAAACAATTACATTTTGAGGACATATTCTTTATTTTTTCCCCCTTTATATTATCTACAAAAGATCCAATCAGGTGTTATATGATGAGTCTACATTATCATTTTAACATCATGGTATTTTAGCATATTTTAATACCACTACACTTCTAAAAACTAATATTTTAAAATAGATTAAATTTTAAAAACTAAAATCATGTATTTTAAATTTGAGAGATTAAAATTAAAATAAGTCTAAATTTCAAGAATCAAAAATAGGATTAAACCAACGGTTTATTTAAAATGACATGACCTTCTCCCATGACGGTAAGGATCTCTACAAAAGGGACCACCGTTGCGTTCTACGGATTCTGATTATGTGGCGCGACATGGACGTTCGATCTCCTTGACGGCTAAGATGTTTTTTTCAGGCCAAAGGACGGCTAAGATTAAAAACATCCCAAACTGTGTGATTTCGGACCCGGCGCCGGGATGCTCAGGCAGGCGCTTCCGTACGCGCTATTTTCTTCCCAGATAATGGCGTATCCGAGCGTCCTGATCCGATCCAATACCCGGTTCTCTTTCGCCCTCTTCAATGCTGCACACCAAACGAAACCCCTTCTTCTTCGAACCCTAATCATGTCGACATCGCAGATCAAATCCAAGAGACCCATCTGCCCATCATGTTCTAAACCCACCCGAACATGCCTGTGCTCTCGGATTCTGACCTCCGGCATCGACAATGCGGTAAGCGTAACCATTCTGCAACACTCGCTAGAGAGCAAGCACCCTCTTAACTCTACTAGGATTGCCAGACTAGGTCTCAGGAATCTCAATGTAGTGACTGTTTCAGATGTTAATTTCGAAGCTCGGTTCTTGATTCGGTTGATGAAAAGTGATTCTGAATCGGGTTTGGTTGGAAATGGTTCGGATAGTTTGACTTTTCATCAAGCTTCGGAAGTTAAAGGCACAGAGAATTCAGTGGATGAACATGCTAGTTCGTCCGATTCCAAGAAAGAAAGTGAACCTGGAAGTTTACCCTTATTAAATAGTGCTGGAAAATGCAATTTGCAAAATGATACTGGGGCTATGAAAAGCTCTCTACTTTGTACTGTGAGTGTAAATTATGGGGTTGATTCAAAGTCAGTGTCAATGATTGTGTAGAGAAGCATGATAATGCTGAGATAGATCAAAATACTGGAGATTCTGCTATTACTGTAGTTATTGGGAAACATGGTTGTATTAATTATCTGTCTCATATATGGAGGTCCCTAACTCAACCCAAAAAGCCCAGCTTTATCAACATACTCTCTTGTCCGGAAGCTTGTGAATCGCTCAAAAAAGGGTTCATGGTGAAGAAGTTGCGGAGGAAGTTAGAGGGAAGCAGTAATCTGCAAGATGATGAAGAATGTGAATTTGAACTTGAAGTTCCTCCTGGATCAGTACTACTATTTCCTTCCGAAACAGCTGTGGATATCACTGACCTTGATGCTATTGGTTTTGAGATAAAGAATTTGATTGTCTTAGATGGAACATGGGCTAAGGCAAAAAGAGTTTACAGTGAAAATCCCTGGCTGAACATTTTGCCCCATATAAAGCTGAAGGTGAACAAGATGAGCTTGTATAATGAAGTAAGGCGTGAGCCTAAAGATGGCTACTTGTCCACCATTGAGAGCATTGTCCATGCCTTGAAGGCATTAGGGGAGAATCATGAGGGCCTGGATAATCTTTTGGATGCTTTTGAATCCATGGTTGGATATCAAAGGCGGTTTAAAGAGGAGAGGCTCACCAAACGATCCTAAGTTTGAAACCTACCTTTCTCAGAGGCACGCAGATATACGAGACAAGCAAAATATACTGTCCTGATACACGTTCAAGTGGCATGCAGTATTCAATGACTGTTCTGTCAAGCACATCATCCACTTGGCGAATTCTGCTCCCTTTTTGAGATAATGGTGCTTCATTCATACCTTTCTTCTTCACTTGATCTGACAACTTGGTGTAATCAACGCCAGTAATGGATTGAGAAACTTTATGGCAGTAAGACAAGAACCATGAAATTCTGCATAATTTGGGTACCTAGTTTCTGTATCAACAACTTTAGTATTATTCTCATACTGGCATGAATGTGGGACAGCACATTACGTGAAGATGGATATGACATTGCAAAATATATCATTTTTCAGTGTGATTTATATCTCATGGTGTCTAATATGTAAGATATATACAGCTCCTTGGGTTTCGTTTGAAGAACTTCTTTCCTACCTCAGTGCTCACTTGTTTGATTCATTTTTTAGCGCTGATTTACAGGAGGGAACCAAGATTGGAAAACCCAATCTGGGCATCTCAGCCTTCCTCAATCCTTTATTCCTGTGCTTTTGCTGTTTGATTATTGGGTCTGGTTCTTGTTCAAACTTAATGACAACCATGGAATGGGTAGTGCCATAGTTGTCTTTCTTAAACCAATGATACTCATTGTTTGTTTTTGTTTGGTTCTTTCTGTTTTGTTTCAGCTCCCCGTTTTCAGTTGGTTTTCCAGGTTCTTCATCTCCAGCGAATTACTTTCTTAGGCCGAGGCATTGCAAGTTGAAGTCTCACGGAGTTCCTGGCTGGCAAGAAAAAAAAATGTGAAATTTGCTTAAAGACTGAGTGCAAATTTTTTTTTTTTTGAGTTGTCTAAAATTTACCTATAATTATATATAAAAGACATGGAATTAATAATACATAAATTGCACACCTTCAAAAAGACTAGACTCTTAAATATTTTAATAAATTTTTTTCAGCTAACAATAGAAGGTTTTTCAACAATTTTTTCTGAAAATTTTTGGAAGTATTTTTTGGAGTAATTTTGACTTTTTTTAAAAAAAAAAATTTTTAAAGTCTGAGCCTCTCAGAGTCATGTACACTCAGCTGCTTTCAGCAGTGCGGTTAGTCTCCGATTAGTGAAGCTCAGAGTCCGGGTGCAGTGTCATCGAAGTTGAGTTCGCCGCCACGCACCGTCACCGGCGACCGAAGGAGCTCCTTCCGCCCCCTGATGCCAAATGCTGAGGCTCTTGTCATTCTCAAGCCATCGTTTAGTTCCGACATCTTCAAACCTTCGTCTCCGTCGTTTTCTGAGTCAATCCATTGACGAGGATGACATTTATGACCCGCCGTTTTCTCCTGTTCCGAAATCTGCAAGCCCAAAGACGTCCAAGAGCAAAACCTCGAAGGAAGCTCTGAGTACTACCGAAGAGCCTAAGTTCCCTTTGAAATCGGGCCTTCCATTCGATTTCAAATACTCTTACTCCGAGATTGACGACTCCGTTAAACCCATAAGTTTCCGAGAATCGCCCAAGTTCTCTCCATTTGGACCTGGCCGGCTCGACCGCAAATGGACAGGGACTTCTGCGCCGGTTCAGGAGGAATTGGACCGGCGGAGTTGGGAGGAGGAGCGGAATCGGGTTCTTGGAGATCCGCTTTCGGAGGAAGAGGTGGCTGAGCTCATCGAACTTTATCGTCACAGTGATTGTGCTAGGCAGATTAATCTAGGTATGTTTTGGCAAATTTTATGCATGAAGTTGAGTGCGCTTTTGTGATACGAGTATGCAAATGCTTGGGGCCTTGGGCAAAGATACCCTTAAATTAAACAGATTGATAGATAATCCCATTTTTTTATATATAGAAGTCAGAATTCAGTGGAATTGAATCCCGTTGGCTGCTTATTTGGTGGCATATAGTACAGAGCTATTAATTAATTTTAATATTTCTTGTCAACTTTGCTTTTGGCATAAGAAATATGAACATCGGACTTCCACCCGGCAATATCATAAATTTTGGATGTCAATTTGTAATTTGAATAGTTATGTACCTTCAAGACTCATATTTGTATGTATTACATAGCTTTTGACCAAATCAGTGTGGATGGATTGTCTAGCTATAGATAGATGAATTCTTAGGTTTTAGTGAATCCTGGCGGCAAGAAGCTGATGCTCGTTTGTGTTAGGGAAGGGGGGAGTCACTCACAACATGTTGGATGACATCCATAACCATTGGAAAAGGGCTGAAGCTGTGAGAATTAAGTGTTTGGGTGTGCCAACTCTTGACATGGACAATGTTTGCTTCCACCTTGAGGTCAATACACACACCCACACAATATCTGTTGATTTATCAGTGAAAGCATTGATCTTTTTTCTGGAGTTTCCGAAGACTTATACTAATGCATATATATTGCTGTATGTACAGGACAAGTCTGGTGGAAAAATCATTTATCGTCACATAAACATTCTGCTTTTATACAGAGGACGAAATTATGATCCCCAGAATCGCCCAGTAATTCCTCTTATGTTATGGAAGCCCTACGCTCCAATTTATCCAAGGCTTGTGAAGAAAGTAATTGAGGGTTTGGCATATGAAGAAATGAAAGAAATGAGAAACAGGGGTTTAAACTCACCACCTTTGATGAAACTCAGTGAGTGAAGAATATGGTTATTATAAACAATAAACTTACAAAATATAATGCTTTGATTTTTCTAGTACATTTCAAAGTAGCACTGGCCCCTATCATATTCTGAAATCTAAATGCTAAGTTGTTCATTTCTATTCTCAGCAAGAAATGGAGTTTATGTTTATGTGGTGGATAAAGTGAGGGAAGCATTCAAGACTGAGGAGGTTTTGAGACTCGACTGTACTCATGTAGGTGCAAGTGACTGCAAAAAGATTGGAGTGAAGCTTAGAGTATGTCTTCTGAGTCATTAAATTTTAAGTTTCGGCCCTTAGCATGAAATCATTATGTGCATAGGTATCCAACTTTATGCTTGTTATTGCAGGATCTTGTGCCATGTGTTCCTATCCTGTTCAAGGATGAGCAGATTATCCTTTGGAGAGGAAATGTAAATTAGATACTACTCAGAGTTCAGATCCAGAGTGGAGTATTGCAGTGTTCGCAAGATGGGTAGCTTCTGTCCACTGACTCCTTTTTACTCTGAGCAGGCTCTGGTAGGAGAACATCAACCTGATTGTAATGCACAGATATGCGACCATTTCTCTTGTATCATGAGTGTAGCTTATAATGAGTTTGCCAGTCAACTTTTTGGATTTTTGGAACTAAATATTAAGGGAAAAGGATTCAGATGTAGCTTTTGGATATTCTTTATCGGGTTCATTTATAGGATTGTAACATGAAGGAGTTTCTAAAGAATCAATAACATGATGTGGAGTTGTGAAAAATGTTTCTGATCTTTGTCATACTTATCAATGATGCTGAGAGAAAATAATTATAATGCTGATGATAAGTATTAAGCTTATTATGTTGTAGATGTCCATTTTGTAATACTCCCTCCTATATGAATTAAACCTTATATTAAGGATTGGAGATGGTACATATTTTAACAGCTGAATTAATACTCAACCCTTTTTGACAATGTATGAATGCGATGGATAATTGTTTATATGCAAGCACCACGTTACCTCTATCCCATGCCACAAGGGTTTACTTGCGCTAATTTGGTGTCATTCTTTGTTCCAAGCATTAGTGTAATACTCTCTCCAGTTCAAAATATAAGCTAAACTTCATTGGAAGGGCTTAGTTTCTTTTATAAGATAACATTTACTTTTATCTAAACATTTAATGAGTTTTTTTTAATTTTATTCATACATATTCTTTTTCCTTTTTGATTCATTTATTGTATTTTTTATTTATTCTCTTCATTAATAAGGGTATATTTGGGGGGGGGGGAATATATGCCTTGCATATTTATTGTTTTAAACTTATTTTAATTAGTTTCTTGACAAATGTAAACGGATAAAGTTTAATTTATATTTTGAACTGGATGGAGTATTTAATTAGTAAAAATGCCAGAATTCAAATCAGTAATTAAATATTTGATTTAAAAAAAAGGTGAAATTCAGAGCTTCTAGTGATCTTATATTGTTAAATATTCTTGTTTAGTACGGCTTGTGACGTTATTGTTAACATTTTATGTTATTGTATGTTTTGGCAATCCTTATGTGTGATCATGTAAATTTATACTTTGAAATCCAAAGTTGCTTTCAAATATTATGAGGCAGATGTTTGAGCCAAAAAAAAAAAATTATGAGGCAGATGTATGATTATTTTATGTTATTGTATGTTTTGGCAATCCTTATGTGTGATCATGTAAATTATACTTTGAAATCCAAAGTTGCTTTCAAATATTATGAGGCAGATGTTTGAGCCAAAAAAAAAAAATTATGAGGCAGATGTATGATTATTTTATGTTATTGTATGTTTTGGCAATCCTTATGTGTGATCATGTAAATTTATACTTTGAAATCCAAAGTTGCTTTCAAATATTATGAGGCAGATGTTTGAGCCAAAAAAAAAAATTATGAGGCAGATGTATGATTCTCGAAAGTTTTGGATTGGCCAATTATCCAAATAGCACCTGCGGAGCACTTACACAATTAGTAGAAGTTTCAAAATCACCTTTGTAATTTGGGGCATTGTTTTCTTTCGAGCCTCTGGGTTATGATCAATAGAAAAATTAAATTTTCACTGCGTTTAATAATAATTTACTTTTTAAATTTTCACATTTGTAACTTCTCTATAGATAAAACTTTATAGAACTTCTCTTGTAATTTTCATCCTTCTCTTTTCATGAATTACGGGGTAATTATTTATTGCGGCGTTTTGATGTTTAAACTTTAAACTCATGCTTTTCAGTACCATTATAGCCTTCGTACGTGCAAAAAATCAAGGCGCACTTTCAAAAATTGTGCACAAGAAAAGTCAAACATGGAATGCTTAATATATTTATTTATATTTATTTTACTAATGAAGATGGATTAACCAATTACAAGTGTATTGGACATTCTACAAGTGGAGGGAAGTTCAATACCAATATTAAAGGAGTACCCGGGTATAAAATACTTCTCCGGTTCTAACCCAATTGTTAAGTTGGTTTTGATCCTAAATATAAAATCTATTTCTCATATTTATCAATTTTTTCTAAATTACCTCTATGGATACTCCCTCAATTATAATCAAGTAGAAGAGAAAGGGGGTATTAAGAAAAATAATTATGGTATCTTAGGAAAAACGTGTCATATTTCTTATAATTAACTAACTTACCTAACTTCCTTAATCTAATCAAATTAGTTAAATGAGTCTTATATTAATAATCAGAGGAATACATAAGTTATAATCTATACGTGCAGCATAAAAGTTATAATCTATACATACCGCATAATGTTAAAGTTGATACCTTTTTGGTGCTTAATATAAGACACATTTAACTAATTTGATTAGATTAAGGAAGTTAGGTAAGTTAGTTAATTATAAGAAATGTAACACGTTTTTTTTAAAATACTATAACCATCTTTCTTAATACATTTTCTTCCTCTTCTACTATGTAACACGTAGTTATATCACTATAGTTATGCAAATAAAAACATGAAAAAGAAAAGTTAAGAAAATGAAAAGATGGTGAATGTACAATAGTGACGTTGTTTGATTTTAATTGGGTTTTAAATCTTGTTACATTGTTCTTTTAACTTTCCTAGTATTAGAAATAAAAGATGCAAACAACTTTGATAAAAGCCATTGCTATTAATAGTTTAAAAGAGGAGGGGTTAAAAAAAGGAAAAACGGAAATAAAGAAACTAAGTAACAAAACTGAGAAGAAAAGAAAGCAAAGTATAAAATAGGATGGCAAAAAACACTTTAAAACAAAACAGCAGTCGGTATAATAAAGGAAGAAAACGTAAACCTGATTATTATCTTATAAAAGCTAATATCATTTTAATCATCTAATAATATTAAAAGTTAATTTGATTTTGA